CTGGACCCCCACTCCTGCGCCACTTTTCGAGCTGGATCGATCTGTGAGGGTCCTGCGGGGCCCGAAATGGAGCGACAACGCCCGGGTCAAAAAGATTGAGTCGCCAGAATCTCAGCGACGGTTTCTGGCACCGCGCGGATGGCTCAACCTCGAACGACGGTCACTTCCCCATCGCGCAAAAGATCGTCCGATACTGCTGGCGGCACTCCGCCCCGAGCGCCCGCGCTGGGGTCGCAGCTGCGCCGGCACGAGGCCCAGGCCAAGCCTACGGGGAGTCGCCACGGGGGGGGGCACCACGTCCTCGAGGAGGAGGGCCGCTCGGGGCCCCCTGGACCCCGCCAGACCGCTCACAACGACCGAGATCGTCCCCCAAACCCTGCTCGATCCTCGGCCCTCGAGCCTCGATCCTCAGGAGGTTGGCGACCCTTCCCGTGTTGACTCCTCCTTTGAGGGGGCACGTCAGGGTGGACCGCCTCAGGGAGAAAACATCGAGCTTGCATCGGCGATACGTCGCCAATAGACCCGCGATAGGCTGCCGAAATCAAATCCGGACGTTTGTGGGCGTGGCGGGCTATCGGGCCATCATCGGCGATGAGCGGACGATTGCGGGTCGATGTAACTATATCCCCCCTCTGAGCCTATCCCCCCCCCCGTCGTGTGGGTTCTGGGTAGTCTTCGGGCCATCTCTCGACCCTCCAGTGGCCGTTCGGGACCATCCTGGCATCCCCAGAACGCCATCGGCGAGGTGCAGTCGCCGGAAACGCACCCCGAGGACGGGAAGCCGCCGAAACTCTTCGAGCACGCCAGCACACACGGGCAAGCACATGTTCCAAGGACGTCGCCCCCTCGTGGCCCCCCCGAACCTTGCCCCTGGTGCTCGGCACTGCCCCGAGGCGAGGAGGAGAGGAGGAGGAGGAGGAGGAGGAGGAGGAGGAGGAGGAGGAGGAGGAGGAGGAGCGAGGAGGAGGCGAGGAGGAGGAGGAGGAGGAGGAGGAGGAGGAGGAGGAGGGAGGAGGAGGAGGAGGGAAGGAGGGAGGGAGGGAGGGAGGCACGGGCCTGCCCGCAGGGGAAGAGGGGGCGAGGGGGCGGAGCTGCGCGCTTCCGGGCCGGGTCCTCCGCAGCGCGGCGCACCCTCGTGGCCCTCTTGGCCTCCCTCGCCGAGCGGCGGGAGCTGGCCAAGCCTCCGCCGGGGGGGGGAAGAGACGCAGGGGCGCTCTGCCGCGCAGGGGGCGCATCGCGGGCTGCCTCCTGATCCCTGAGGCCTGGTGGCTGCAGGAACCTCCGGATGTGGCCTCCCATCCCATCCTCACACCTTGGGACCCCTTTTTTGAGATCTGTTGGGCATTCTTGAGGCCATGAAGCAGTGATCCCAGGAAGATGTTCGAACCACATTTGTGTCTTAGGATGTCCCTGGCGAAGCCGTCATTCTTGGAAGGCTCATTTCCTCCTCTGACCTCCTCCATTTCCTCCTTCCCTCTGCCCCTGAGGTTAGAGGCCTCCCAAATAGGGTCCGAATAGAGGGGGTCGGAGGATCGCGTCGCCTCACCGATGCATTGACGCTACATCGGTGACGTCGGCGGTGCATCGGCGACGCCAGCGTGGAGAAACTGGGCCACATCGAGCCGCATCGCCGACGTATCGGCGATGCGTCGCGATCCTGGGACGGGCTCTTCATCCTGAGTCGTTTGTTGACGGCCCCGGGACCCACTAATGACTCCCGGAGGCCAGCAAAAAAAACCCGAACCTCCGGTCGTGACTTTTCATGCCTCCACCTGGAGGCCTGCGATCCCATCTGCGCCGACCCCATCTGGGAGGGGCAACGATGCGGGGGGACTCGCTCGGGGGGGAAGCATCGCCCTGGAACCGACGCTACCTCCATCGCCCATAGAGCGGCGGTAGGCCCCCGATAGCACATCTGCACGTTCCCGGGCGAGGTGGGCCTGTCCGCTATCGGCGATGAGCTGGCGATCAAGGGGGGGTCGATGCGCCCCCCCCCCCCCCCGTGCCCATGCCCCCCCCACCAGTCGGTCGGAAGAGGTTTGTAGAAGCATGAATGAAGGGGCCCTGGGGCACACAAACAAAGACATACAGATAAATGGATTCCCTATATTTTTCTAAATGTTCTGGGTTTCTGTCTTCCCCCACTTCCTATATTTTCCAAAAACCTTTTTAGGGAATCGACGAGTCATTGTATATGTGTGCTTTTTCCCTCCTGAATGAAGTAGGAAGGCGGATGAAGTAGACTGGATTCAGGCCCTCCTAGAGAATTGCAGACACAACCCAGCACACATACATCGAGTCTTGAGGTAGGAAGGTGCAACAAGCATGTTTTGTGGTTTTGTATCATGTACAAGTGGTTTGCCCCGTGGGCTTTTGTGTGTGTGTGTGTGTGTGTGTGTGTGTGTGCGTGTGTTTGTGTGTGTGTGTGTGTGTGTGTGTGTGTGTGTGTGCATTTTGTACACTTCGTTTGCCCACTGGATTTGGTTGGCATTTTGTGCAATTCGTTTGCCCAGTATTGGGACCTGGGAGTCCCAAAAACAGACTTTCGTCGACTGGCGCGTTTGCCCCCATCTACCGTTGCCCATGAATCTGGGAGGCCTCGAGGCCCCGTCTGTCCAGCTCGCTCTCCCCCCGCCAGCGCGGCCCGACCGACCCCTAAGGCCTATGGCAAACCGTCTTCTCCCGTGGCGTCGCCCTCGCCTCTCGGGCTCCCCTTCCGGCCGCGTCTTGGGGCGAGGCGCAGGGAACGTCACGGAAGGGGATGGTTTGCTAGGGGTCGGCTACAGTGGGGGCTCGGCCACAAGAAACCTCCGCAAGAAACCCAACCCTGAATTCCGCGATTTGCTCGGTGAAATTTGTCGATCGAAAATCGTCAAGATCTTATTGGGGGCCCATCGAAATCCAAGAAGCCCAGGGCACCCTCGCAAAATCCCTTTGGTTTCTTGGCACGCGCCCCCACTGTAGGCCGCGCCTGATCCGCCCCCCCCGCCCGCCGCCCGGGGAGGCCTACGGCCGCGAGCGCGCCGGCAGCGGCGCCCGCGGGGAGCCAGCCCTCGCCGGCCGCGGCGGCCTCTCGGGGACTCGGCGGGGAGGTGTCTGGGGATGTTCCAGCGATTCCAGCAACCAGGGGCGAAGGGGTGCAAGCTCGGCCCAGGGGGAGCAGGAGGAGGAGGAGGAGGAGAAGAAGGAGGAGGAGGAGGCGGAGGAGGAGGAGGAGGAGGAGGAGGAGGAGGAGCAGGAGGAGGAAGAGGAGGAGGAGGAGGAGAAGGAGGAGGAGAGGAGGAGGAGGAGGAGGCGGAGGAGGAGGAGGAGGAGGAGGAGGAGGAGGAGGAGTGGACACCATCACGAGTGTGATCCTGACGAAGCACCCGAACTCGCAGCACACTCTCGAACGCCAGACCTGCGCCAGCCTGCCTCAGGACCTTGGGATTTGAAGCCCGCGTTGTCCTGTGAGAAGTCCCTTTGCCATGTGCCGAAACTTGCCCGCCGTATACAACCAATGTCACGCTGCGCACGACAGTACAGAACATGGACCCAAAGAGGCCTACACAATATCAAGTACAGTTCAAATCTGCAGAATACACGCACTCATAACCATCAACTCACATTTGCTTACACTCCTGCTGCTCACTACTTCGGGCGGCGGCAGCCCAATCGATCACCGCCGAACCACTAGGCAGGAAAGAAGCGGCCTGCCCTCCCCGAGGAGTCTCAGCATCCAGTACAATTCTCGCTCTAGTAACACTGTTCTCCCAATCGTTGAGCTCAGAATTCTCTCCCCCCGTCTCGCCCGCCCTGGTCGCAGCACTGTAGCTGATCACGTCGGCCTGCAACTTCGCCCCAGACTTCTCGCACGCGCTGTGAACAGGATGGTGACTAGGGGTGGAGGCCGACGGCCGTTTCGCTTCCAACCACGCCTTGGAAATGCACGCTCGGGCGGCCCACCACACTGCTGAACTCGAAGGTCCACCAGGTCGTAGGGCAGCAGCGTCGGCCACGGTAGCGGATGGCGAGACGACGTTGGCGTCGGACTCGTTCTCCTCGAGCTCGGCGTCGGACAGCGGGGAATCGGCGCCTCCAGGCTCGTCACCACGAGCAGTTTCGCCCAGCCGAGTGGGAAACGTTCCCAAGCCCCCAGGGCGAATGCGCCCCGTGGGGTCGACGCGGGCAGGAGACGGGGGAATGGCATTCGCCCCCGTCCCCCCCCCAGCCCCCCATGTATGAGGCCCCATGGGGTGGGCACTGAACTGCAGCAGCCTGCGCGTCCAACGACGCTCCCGCGGCCCCTGCGGCAGGGCAGTGATCCCCCGTAGGGGCCCTCACGTCGGCGCCCGTCGCCTCTGCAGCGGCAGCGCCCGCGGCGCCCTCGGCAGGGCAGTCATCCCCCGTAGGGGCCCTCTGGGCTGCGATCCCTTCCGCCGCCGCTCCGTTCACCTGGCCGCCGACCACCGCGACCGCGACTGAGGAGAACACCGTGGTCCCGCAGGTGCAGACGAGGCCCGTGCAGCGCGTGTGCGCGAACGGCTCGAAGGGCTCCCAGTAGCTCGCCGACGGGACGAACTCGGTTGCCTCGGCGCGCAACGGGGTCGCATCCGCCTCGATCATCTCCGTCCGAAGGTCCAGCTGGCGCCCCTGCCTCCGTTGCATTCGATTGAGTGCCCTGAACGAGAGGTCCATGAGCTGGTCCATGGGGAGGTTGAAGACATGCAACGCGACGTTGCGCAGCACCTGCTCCCTATGAGAATGGGCAGGTGTGGCACCTCGCCTGGTAGCCTCGACCTCCTCGACGAGAAAAGGCAAACTTGCATCCAAGCGCCGTCGTACTTCAGGGTCGTTTGCCCATCTGCTGCGCTCCTGCAGTACGCTCTTCTCCGTAATGAGTTTCCTGACCAACTTATCGGCCGACAATGCGGCACCCGCGCGTCGCTGCCGCCGAGCTGCAGCCGCGCCAAGCACATCTTCACGCCACACACACGGGGCGGGTCCCGCAGCCAGTTCATGCCTGCTCCCAGTATCCGGCGCCATGAGCTAGCACATAGAGCCAAGATGTTGGGGCGCGGCGGCATGAGCCAAAATGGCTACGGAGGGGGATGAGGAGGAGGAGGAGGAGGAGGAGGAGGAGGAGGAGGAGGAGGAGGAGAGGAGGAGGAGAACGAGGAGGAGGAGGAGGAGGAGGAGGAGGAGGAGGAGGAGGAGGAGGAAGGGGAGGAGGAGGAGGAGGAGGCAGGAGGAGGAAGAGGAGGAGGAGGAGGAGAGGAGGAGAGGAGGAGGAGGAGAGGAGGAGGAGGAGGAGGAGGAGAAAGGAGGAGGAAAGAGGAGGAGGAGGAGGAGGAGAGGAGGAGAGGAAGGAAAGGAGGAGGAGGATATGGAGGAGGAGGTAGGAGGAAGGAGGAGGAGGAGGAGGAGTAGGAGGAGGAGAGGGAGGATATGGAGGAGAGGGAGGGGAGGGAGGAGAGGGAGGAGGGAGGAAGGAGAGGGAGGAGGAGAGGAGGAGGAAGAGGAGGAGGAGGAGAGGAGGAGGGGGAGGAGAGAAGAGGAGGAGGAGAGGAGGAGGATGATGATGATGGATGATGAGGAGGAGGAGGAGGAGGAGAGGAGGAGGAGGGGAAGAGGGAGGAGGAAGGATGATGATGCATGATGATGATGATGATGATGATGAGGATGTGGAGGAGGATGAGGATGAGATGGTGATGTGATGATGATGAGGAGCAGGAGGAGGAGGAGGAGGAGGAGGAGGAGGAGGAGGAGGAGGAGGAGGAGGAGGAGGAGGAGGAGGAGGAGGAGGAGGAGGAGGAAGAGGAGGGGGGGAGGAAAAGGGAGGAGGAGGAGGAAAAGGGAGGAGGAGGAGGACGAGGAGGAGGAGGAGACAATTGCGGGGCTGGGAAGGTCATGCCGTCCTCCGGGGGCTTACCTTCCCACGGCCTGTCGAAGCTGCGTCTGCCAGCTGCAGACGGATCTGGGAGGGCAGGTTGGGGCCAGCTGCTGTGCAGGGCTGACGGCGGAAATCCCACATCCTCGACAAAACACCAAAAGGTCTCTGGGGGGGAGGCGGGCCGAGCGGGGGGGGGAGGGGGATGGGCCTAGGCATGCTCTTGTCGTGGAGACACGAGTTCGCGACGGGAGGTGTCTTTGGCCATTTTCGGCCCCGGGGGGGCCCTCGCCAGGCCCTGGGGCCGTCGAGACACGAGTACTCAAGATGAAACGCCGGCCCCGGGGGAATTCGGAACGGGTCGGGGCTGCTAGGGGCCGCGTGTGGACAAACATCCAGACATCGCATGCCTGGGGAGGGAGGGGGGAGAAGCATGGTAGGGGGAACGAGAGAGGGAAGGGGGGAGTGGAGGGGGCCGAGATTCGCAACAGTTCGGGCGGAGGGTCCGTCCGGGCGCGCGGGGTGCTAGCACCCGCCGCGCCCACCCCTTGTGGCGGGAAGGGCCGTTTGAGAAGCAGGGGTGCGGAAACTACCTTCCCCCGTAGCGTGGTCTGTGATGACCCCGAAAGAAAAGCAAGAGCGGGAGGTGGTGAAACGGGCGAGACTCGCCCCGTCTGCACGGCCGCAGACAGAGAGACGCGGGCTGTAAACACGCTGTGTGGCATGCGTGATGCGGTGACTGGACGACGGCGATACCTTGGGGCATCCCCCGCGGCGGCCCAAACAGAGGGCAACGGAACACTTGCCAGCAATTCACGGAGCCCACTGGGAGAGGAGGGGCGCTAGCACTGGTGTGTCGCGCGTTGAGCAACGAGGTGAGCATGGAGACTTTCTTGGAAGGGCGCCCCAAGAGAAGCGGCAGGTCGGATAACCTGCTTGATGCCGTCCCAGGCACCTTGTGCTCGGAGGAAACTGTCAAACAGCGTGATTGGCCCGCTATTGCAGGATAGAATGGGCAAAGTGATTGTCCCGCTGTTGCAGCGCGTTGATGCGAACGACGAGGACAGTTTCGCGGTTACCCTCTGGCTGTCGTCTGCCCGCTGAGACGCGCCGCGTAAAACAGATTGCCCACGATATGTTCGCTGGGTCGCCGTCGCACCATGTCCTGTTCCATCGTCGTGCACTGGCCGTGCGCTACTCCCTGCACCCTAGTGGGAGGAGGGGCTTGCTTGGTGGTGAGGGGCGCTGCTGGTGACGGCCAGATCCAGTCGACCGTGGGCGGCTTGCGCCTGAACGTGGGGGGGTCGTGGTGATCGTCGTGATCACTGTGGTCGTCTCTGCTGTGACTTTGGGAAGGGGTGTGTCGTTTCCTTCGTCTTCGTTCAGGGAGGCGCCAAGCCCGAGCGGATCTTGTTCCTTGCCGTCGAAGTCGTCGAGCATGCCCGCCCATGGATCATCGAGGTGATCGAAACAGTCAGGCCATAGTGTACCGTCGAGATGATCGCGGCCGCTCTGTGAGCCCGTTGGCTCGTGGCCGCCTTGGCCAGTGGTGAGAGGGTTGGGCTTCATCCTGCTGAGCCCCACTCTTGACTTGCCCGCCTGCCTGTCTGGCAACGGAAGCGTCTGGTGACGCCGGCCATAGATGATGGCAGCCGTGCCGTGCAGGACGGCCGCGAGTGTGTCTGTGTGTCGCCATGTATGCGGGCAATACTTCTATCCATATCCAGGGCGTCGTGGACTTGTCGGGAAGGGGTGCCGCAAGGCCGAGACACACTGGATATGGATCAAAATCTAACCTTCTGAGGCAAGACTGTTATCCATATCAAGTGCGCCTCCAGCTTCTGGGGAAGAGAGCCCAAAGCTCCAAAGCGCACTGGATGTAGATGTAACTATTGCCCGCAATGTAGCCGCGTCGGGGAGGCTGTCTGGTTCGCTGTGCAAGCGTGCGCCGGCCGTGGACAATTCAGCTGCGCGGCGGTGGAATGCCGCCGCGATCGGCGTGGTGCGCCCCGTGTGGATGCCCTGCTTGATGGAGGATGGCGATTCATAAATGACCGGGGGTCGTGTTCACGCGGCGGCGTCCGGGATGACGATTAGAAAAAAGCGGCCGCGGGCTGGAAAACTATGTTTTTTTTTGTATTTTAAAAAATCGTTCTCCTCCAGTCAGAAGGTTGTGCAGAAATAACAGAAAACTATGTTTTTAATCGTTCTCTCCAATTTGTTTTTAGTAAATCGTCATCCCGCATTACCCAACTGGCTTTTCTACTTCCTGGGCTACGAGCGTGTCGGGTTTGGTCTGGAGGGCTCGGTGGATCTCTTGCCGAAGGTCGGCCTGGGCACACACGCGTTGTGGTGGCTTACCACTGGGGAGGTCCCCGAATCTGTTCATAACAGCTCGGTTGTCAACGAATATGTGAACGGGCCGTTCAGCAGTGGCGACCTGATGGAGCGCGGCTCAAGAGGGGAAGGTAGGGAAGGAGGGAGGGAGGGACGTGCCGATCTCGGCGTTGGAGGGCTGATCGTCGTAGTAATGCCAACCCTGTCCAACGAAGAGCGGTGGTTTGCAGGGCACATGCGTTCCTGCTCGTGTAATATTGTCCAGCGCCTTTTGGGCCTCGTACCTTGTTGTGATCACAGCGTCGGCGTGCCATGGAGCCGTGGGAAACACTTTTTTCCGTCGGCGGCGAGGCAGAGTTGAGTGCACCAGCGCCAGAGGTAAACGGGGGGCACTGAAAAGCGAATTGGCCAGCGTGCAAGAGCGGGACGAGGGCAGAGACGTCGGCAAGCTATGGAAAACACATCTCCCTGGCCAGCCCAGGGGGGAGGCCAATCGTGCCGACGGTCTGGCAGGTGCGCTTTCTCATTAGGAGGGGGGAAGAGACCCGGATCTCCGAATCATTTGGTTCTTCAGCCCGGCGGCTTTCCCAAGTTTCGAGCTCTGGGGCCCGTGTTTTGGCCCCGGGACCATCACACGTGGACCCAGGATGGAAAGCCACCTCGGGGAAGCGGTGGGGAGCCCTGGAGCCGCGGATGGAAAACAGCAACATCACGTCGTCGGAGATCTAGGTGCGGGCGAGGTCCCGGGCCGAGCGGGGGGAGGGAGGGCGACGAGATCTACGCACATCCACTGCCCCAGGCTCGGCCCACCCTGGGCCGAGGAGCTGCCGGGGAGGCGTATGCACGGCTCCTGGGCCCAGGGTGAGCCAAGCCTGGGGCAGTGGATGTGCACACAGGGCAGTTTTTTAACACATGGGATGTGAAAACAAATAGGACTTTAATACATGATTCATGTATGAATAAATTTATGCATGAACTCATCGCTGTTTTCAATACTACCCCCCTGCATTTTTTTATACATGATTCGCACGCATAGCATGCATTAAAAGCGGCACTGTGTAAATCTCGTTGCCCTAGGGAGTGGTGTTTGTTGTTGTTGTTGTTGCTGTGGCCGCGCCAACCATACGTGGCAGGCAGGCAGGGAAGACATGACCTAAAGGGGGTACGATCGAAGACGAAGAGGGCGGGTATACATGCTGAGCGTCACGCGAACAAAACAAACACGAGCAGTCTCACAATGCGTGTTGCTGCTGCTGTCGTCATCGAAATTGATGGTAAGGTGCATCGTAGGAGATGTTGCCAACATATTTTCGGGCGGGAGATCTTGGTGAGGGGACATCCCCATGAAGGGGGTGGGGAGCTGTCATGATGAATGCATGTTACATGTATAAGCATCGAGCATTCTGGTACAATGATGATTGTTGTTGCTGATGCTGAGAACCATAAATGCCTAACAGCTATGACTGTCGGACCTGCTAAAGGCGCCCTGGCGCTCTCGCCTCTAGCACCGGCTGCACTCCCTTTGAAAACGAAGCTCGCACTGGAGCGGTTCGGGGTTGTGCCGAAACCAGTCCCCCAACAGCAACGGCAACACAAGTCAGTTTAAGACTGTTCGCTTTCATGTGCTCGCGTGGCGTTGGTCATGTGTCCCTTGAAGCCTGGATGCCTGACATCTTCTTCTTCGACCGTACCCCCCTTGGGGTATACCTCCCTTGCCTGCCACGTGTAGTTGGAGAAGCCCATGGAACAGGGGAAGGGATGGAGAATGGAAGAGATAAGGGGGAGGGAGAAAGA